TCATGTTCCATGAAGATATTTTGTAAATTTCCTACTGTAAATATATTAAAACTTAATTTTTGATTAGTAATATGCATTGCTAAGAACTTCATTTGGACAACTTTAAAGGCGATTTTCTCAATATTTTGATTTTTTTTGCACCCTCAGACTCCAGATTTTCAAATAGTTGTAACTCGGCCAAATATTGTCCTGTCCTAACAAACCATACATCAATGGAAAGTGTATGTATTCAGCTTTCAGATGATGTATAAATCTCAATTTCGAAAAATTGACCTTTATGACTGATTTTGTGGTCCAGGGTCACATATGATTGTTTTCAAAAAGGCTTCATGAACACTCCCCCTGTTTTCAGTTGGTCAAACAAACATAAGTCCCGCCCTCAAAAAACAAGTTAAACTTTCAAGTCAAGCCAAATTTATTTGTATAGCGCTTTTCACAATTCACATTGTTTCAAAGCAGCTTTAGGTTACACTTTACTTCGATAGTCCACTTTAGACATTCTACTAACTGTGAGTAACTTTGCAACTACATGTCAACTAACTCTCATTAGAGCATTTGACTGTTAGGTTAAGGTTAGTAGAATAATTTGCCTTACTTGCAAAAGTCACTTATAGTCAGTAGAACGTCGTGTGCAGCGACCATCAAAATAAAGTGTTAGTAGATATTAAGCAGTCTGCTAATACTCTAATGACTGCTAGTTGACATGTAGTTGCAAAGTTATTTATAGGTAGTTGAATGTCTAATGCCGGGTTCAGACTACACAATATTTTTGTCGGTCACGATAGTCACTGTGTCAGATTTTACGATTTTGACTCCTAAAATCTTGTCGTGTCGTGGACAAGAAACATGTCAGACTACACGTTGCTTCCCGACCATTCATCGCGTGCCGTCTTTAACGACGCGCGTGATGTCATCGAGAAGGCGGAACTAGCGGCTGACTTCCGAAAACAAGAGTGTAAACATTGCTGAAGCGCTTCCGCTATAGTTCGCCAGCATTTTTCTTTCTTTGTTTCGTCATGGTAGTCCCTCGATCACACATCATACAGGCAGGAGTATACTGTTGCCACAGCTCCAAGAACCTTTCCTCCATCTCATAATTCCACCTAGCAGCACCATCATCTCTCTTTCGTTTCGCCATGTTTGAAACCTGTGTATGAAAGAGCTTCTGTGCTGCTATTGGTCAACGTCACCAATGTGACAGAACTCGTCGTGGACGACGGAAAAAAAATTAAACATGGTAGTCTTTCTGTCGTGATGTCGTGAAGCATCGCATACGCAGAATCGGTTGTCGTCCAGTATGACACACTACACGTGCTGAAACGATGGAATCTTGCGTCCCAACGCCCATTGTCGTTTACGAATCCCCTCGACACCCTACGTCAAGCAAATCGTGCCAAAATCGTGTAGTCTGAACCGGGCATTAAGTGGACTATCAAAATAAAGTGTTACCCAGCTTTACAGAAAATCATGACGTTAATGTTTAGAATCACTTAATATCAAGCACTGGACTAACTTGCGTAAAGTATTTTCCTGCCTTTTCTCACTATATCACCCAATTGAACCGTTTTATGTCTTAGCGCAACGCTGTGCTGTGGGGAGACTCGCCTGAATCAACGAGCCTACTTGTGATCGGTTTCTAAATACTTTTCAAATTGTCATCCTGCTTTCACTAGCTGAAACTAATCTCCTCTATCTTTTGTTTCTTTCCTCCTTTCCTTGTTTCCCTCCCCTTTTTCTGTTCGTTTGTCTCTCTAACCCACTCAGCCACTAACCCCTGACCTTCTGACCTCTTCACCCAATGATGACCTGCCCATTACCTGCCTGCCGATCACACCTCTGCCCTAAAATGAATGAATGAAAGACAAAAAGAGTATCTAAGAGCTGTCACAGGCAGTGGATATACAGCTTCCCTAAACCTCGCTCGTTGGACGCGGGCGGCAGATGCCCGGACGTTCCAGCCGCTGTAGATCTGCACTCTTTGTAAGCAATAAGCAATAATGATTTGTCCCACACCCTCTTCTAAATCAAAGCCAGACCTCCCAGTTTGCTGTGCGAACGCCTCCAGCTCAACAACGGCACTGTTGAGGAAACGGACTGCCCTTCATCGCACCCCAACCCGTCGCTCAAGTAATCCTGCAG